GGGGGGTCATGATGCAGCTCACTTGGCATCTGAAAATACATTTCCTCAAGGGTATTTTTAATCTGAAAAGAGTTTCACTGAGTGAGAAGTAGTGCTACCAGACACTTTCAGTTTCACTTTCAGTTTCACCCAAGAGCCTGCAGGAGTCATGGGCGGTGGGTGTGGGGTGGGGAGTTGTGCTCCGCCATGAGGAAGCTCGGCTTAAAGACACGTCCCAGGGGCGTTTCTGGTGCCAAAAGTTGTTTCTGGTCCCCACCTGTCGTTTTGCTCCTCAGCATGGCTTCCTAAAAACACTGCAGGATTTCTCAAACATGCATGAATGAGTCAAAGCAAGGCTTTGGGCATGTTTTTTTTTATGAGAGTATGACATTATAACATGATATAAAACTCAAAGAACTAGATTTTACATGATATTGCCCCTTTAAAATCCAGGTTTTAGAAGGTTTTTAGTGATTGGAGCAGTGAACACTGCTGCAGTGCAGACCCAACTCATTTTGCTGAAGACACACAGAAACAGAAAACTTCTCTGATGCCACTTTGAGTAACTTTAGGAACTTTAGGGCGGCTGTGGCGGTGTAGTTAGGGAAGTTGTTCTGGAACTGGAAGGTTGCTGGTTCGATTCCCCTGTCCAGCTGTGTCAGTTGTTGTGTCCTTGGGCAAGACACTTCACCCCTAATGCCTCTGATGTGTGTCCCATCAGTGTATGAATGTGATTGGCACTGATTAGTCTCCATAGATGATTGTACATGTTAGCTTTGTAGAGACCTTACAGAGTGCTGTGTGAATGGGTAAATGAGGACACAGATTGTAGTGTGAAGCACTCTGAGTATCCTGGATGGATAGAAAGACACTATACAAGTACAGTCCATTTACCATTTACTTTGAAGACTTAAAGCATTTAGGGACAACTAACGAGGAGCCTCTCAGAACACAGCTTGGTTCCTTAGCAGCTGTCTAATTAGAGGTGGTGCTTTGTAAAAGGTTTTCTAATGGAACTGTGATCCACTTTTAAATCCTTTTGTACATGATTGTTATTATTGTTTCATCATCAGTGAAATTATGAATGGAGTTATCAAGCCAAACCTCCCCAAAACAACTATTTAATCTCTGTTCCCATAGCAGCGGGTAAAGGAAGGAGTTTTATTTTAGGTTATGTTGCCGAAGGTTACGTATCCATGCCAATCAATAAAATTGTTTACACAAACAGTTAAGTGGACCAGTTTGGGGGTAGATTTATTCATTTATTCCTTTTCTGTCCTCTCTTTAAATATTAGATTTGTTCTCTTCCTGTTTTAATGCTGTTCTGATTGCTGCCTTTAATGAATAAATCATATTTCCTGCAGTTCACAGAGCAAAACAAGCAGTATTTTTAATGCTCGCTCTCTTTCTGTTGTTTTTTTCTTTTCTTTTTTTTTCCTCACAGCTCCCGTGACTGACAAGCCGCCAAAAATCCTTTTCCCTTCCGAGAGCCAAATGAGCATCACAGAGATGGCGCTAGGTAAGGAAACATGTTCCATTCCCTGCAGTGACTGCCTGGTTTTTGTTTCTGTCATTGGAGCGTGCAGCATCTTAGATTGCTTTAGATTTCTAAACTAGTCCAACAAAGCAGATTCTTCCAAAGTAGGTCTCTTTCTTGTGGCTTTTTTTTTTTTGTTTTGTTTTGTTTTGCTATTGGAGCTAGTTTATCTCCTGCAAGTCTTGAAGTTTTGGGGACAATATCCAATCACCCGTTTGAGTCATTTTTGGGCAATTTTTTTAGTTGTAATTTTACAGCATGGTACTCTGCCTCGAAGAAGGAATATTCTGGGATGGAAGTTTTGTGTGAGCTGGTTTAATTGTCCTTTGCACAGTGGTGACTCTCAAAGAGCTGCAGCTGTGAGAATGAGTTAGTCTCATTGTGTGAGCTCTTTGACGAACTGATGCTCCAGCACTCTTTTCACTGGGGGGGTAAAGATTAGGTACATGCCTTGGTAATCTTAATCTGTACAATCTGAACTTGTTCTACAACCCCTGGCAAAAAGTATGGAATCTTGGATGAGCACTCATTCAGACATTTCATTCTATAACACAAACTCAGTTCAAAAACATGATACATACATATTTTGAATGGTCTTTTGTTTATCTGGTTTTCATGATTCCATACTTTTTCCTCAAAATTGAGTGATTTCATATTTTTTCCCTGTGCTTGGTCAATAAAAGTAACATTCACTGACTTCCACAATGTTTTCTCTTCATTTCTTTGAGTGTTCCTGAAAGCCAWCAAGTTGCACTTTGGAATGACCTTATTATTGTATCATGTTTTTTTTTATCTGAGTTTGTTTTACAGAATGAAATGTCTGAACGAGTGCTCATCCAAGACTGGTGATTCCATACTTTTTGCCAGGGGTAGTATTAAGAACATGCACTGTGGAGGTTTTCTTCTGAAAGTGGAATAGAATTTATTGGGGTAACACAATTTGTCAAATTATATTCATCAATATCAAGTGGTTTGCATTTATAATCTGCATGTCAATCAAATAATCTGGCCAATGAGATGGATTCTGTACCGTCTGAGTGTTGTGAAACATTGTTTTGGAAGGAAAAGAAAACAGTGAGAACAATGTGACTTTATTTAAACTGATATTGTCCTTCCAGAACTCAGCATTAATATTTTATATTGGCTCGTTTAATGTTGTGCAGCCCRAGTTTTAACTCAATAAAGGAGCTTAATATTTCTGGTTGGTACGTTTTTCCTATTCATCTGAAAACTCTGTCAGCAAAACAACATTCTCGTCACCAATATCAAAGATTATTGCCACCGCACAGATGCAGTGGAGGGAAATGGTTTAGTTTCATTTAAAAAGCCCAGCTTTTCAATCATAATCCTTCACACCTCAAATGTAATTTTTCTCACAGTGCTGCAGTTTTGATGTGTTTCAGCCAAACAGGGTTTTGAGGAAGACCTTCGGTTAGGTTGCTTTTTCTGTGTTTCCCGTTTTTCTTTTTTTGTGAATGGACCTTGGGACTTAACAAGGAGGGATAAAAGAAAACCAGCATGACTCATTTATAATATATTTTTTATGAAAAGCGAGGTGCTTCTCTTCATACATTTCTTTTACCACCCTTCTGTTTATTTTTTTATTTATTTTTTTTTTTCATCACGTCTCTTAACTATTTTGTGCTTTTAATAAGTTTCTTTATGGCGGACTAATCTTCCAACTGATGACGTTRGCAACATTTGAAGTGATTAGCTCCAAATCTGCCTGATGTAGCTGCTGCAGATCTCCACTAYGGACTCTCCCTTTGCTTTAGCAGCTTTCAATGCACAGAGACTCRTGGGAAAACTCCAGCTTTGTGCCTTGTTGGACAGAATCGCAGCTGTTGGTGGACCGGGTGGGAAAAAAATGGGTCATGATGGAGGCTTCCTTTGAAGTAAATTTGTCACAGGCAATGAACACAACGTGCTCGTGGAGGTATAATGGGTGGCAATCAGAAAATAGGTGCGAATCATTGTAGCTTTAAACTGATGATGAGAAACGCCTCCCTGGCTGCTTTCATCTGATTAAGCTTTCATAGTGGATGATGGGAGATTTTCAAACTCCATTACCTGATAGCTGCGACAACAGACAATCAAAGGTAAAAAGCATATGCTGCTGTTTTATGTTTTCCTCACTCCCCTGCTGGCTCGATAATGATTTGGTCTGTGTGTGTTTGTGTGTCTGTCTTTAAGCAAATGGTTTCCTCCCTCGTCTTTATAACTCACAACACACTTTATTGAAACTTTCAGAAATCACTGGATGTACATCTACAACTCACTTTTATTCAAGATGGCCACCACAGCTAACTGACTGTCGACAACAGTGGCTCAGCTCAATCAGTTTTACATACAGCGGGTAAAATAAGTATTGAACACGTCACCATTTTTCTTTGTAAATATATTACTAGAGGTGCTAATG